GATGGATATTATTTTGGAAGAATGTATTCTGGAATAGTAGATTGATGGAGAATGTGTGGTTGAAGAAGAAGAAAAAGTTATTGATGTGATGGAAAATATTATTTTAATGAAGAATGTGTGGTTGAAAATGAGTAGAGTAATGGGAATGAAAATTTTAATATGACTCAAATAGTTGCTAAATATTGTCAATTATGAGTACGTGAATTAAATTGGATAAGTACCATTGAAATCAAAATCCTAGTTACTTCAATAGTTCGAATTTTCTCAAAGTTTGCCACACTACGTTTAAAAGCTTTTATTTTAGTTAAAAACAAATCAATACGTGAGTTTTTTATTTGGTTAAAGTTGGGCTAAATTCATTTCGATACTTGATAATACAATTCTTATGAAATGAACACTCTACTCTTTCTCTTTATTACTTGTTATTGATATATAATAAACGACTCGGGCCAAGCCGCCTTGCAAGTCAAAGCTCGCAGCTAGGTCATTGTCCAAAAAATGGGCTCGGCCCGAGCCTTGGTTCGTGTGCACCGAGCCGCTAGTCAAGTCAACTTAAATTTTTTTTTCAGGTAGGGCAACGGGCTAATTTGACATCCCTAGATATATTGCACTTGTGATTCAAACATGAACAAATATGAAGTACAAGTTGATGGATTAGAACACACAACTAACTAGGAACATGTAAGTATTATAAATATTATGAATCAACAACAAAGACTTAATTAGTTCTTGAACAAACCAATCCATTAATTTCACTGCTAAAAAATGCGGCATCACATCAAGAAATATTTATATAGCTGATTTTATTCTAGTGACTTTCTCCGACTATGCAAAACACGTCCGAATTGGTTCGTAAAGTTTTCGTTGGTAAATACCTAAGGAATGTTCAACAGAAGCGCTGACAATTTCGATCTCTATTTATGTATGTTTTCTACTAGAAACCGTGGTACCATCAATGAAATTTTCATACAAATTTCTAAGGCGGAAGTTGCCTTGGTAATTTTGTGACATAAAAAGAGAATTCATCACTAATTACCGCCAGATTAGCAACGAAATCTCCTATTTTTTTAGCAACTAAAATTTATTTATCGCTAATCGCTTCATTATCCATAGATAATACCGATGAAATTTTTTTGCTAATCGGTTCGTCGATAATTTTTCATCTATATTTCCGTATCGTTGTACCTTGTCTTGTTCACGACCTCGATTTTTGATGTAGTTCCCGAATTAACATAGAACACTTAATGCAAATGGGAATGGGAATGGGAATGGCTAAACAGATATTCAATAATAATTCTTGATGTAGTTCAGTCCACATTTATTTCCTTGA